GGAAGGAAGGCCAATTTCCTGGGCGAGTGACATGAGGAGTAAGAGGTCCTTGTCGCAACCAACAATGTAGGTCCCGCAGTTTAAATCGTCTAACTCTTGAAGCGTTGTCGGGAACTCCTTTCTCAGCCGGCGCAGACAATCTTTCCTGAACATTGGGATGTCATACTTTTTACTGAGTCGCAGAGCAGCTGCTATAAATGCTGGATATGGTATATCCATAGGAGCTCTATAGTTACTGGTGAGAATCAGAACATCATCAAGGCCCTCTGCTCACTTTGGGTACATGGCTCCAAGAAGATAAATCCAGTCTTGGACGGTATCATCGGAGAGCGCGACTACCGGACAATCCTCAACAGTGGGTTCGTCTGCCGGGAGCGGGATCGTAAGCATATCGCGACAGACAGCGGAGTGCAGGGAAAGCATGCTTTTGTGGAGGCGAAACTGGGTGGATTCGACCTGCAGAATGATATTGCCGTCATCGAACCAATACTCGGACGACCGAACAAGTGGGATTGCCGCCGCATCGGTGTCTTCTGTGCGCTGACGTTTAGCTGGCGAATCGTTCATGACCGTTGACTTTGCGGACGCGTTTGATTTGTATTGCCGTGTTATGCCCCCGAAGCCGAATCAAGCATCGCCAAACTTTCAATTTTTCTGTTTTCCGTCCACAAGCAACTCACCCTAGGTTCGTTCCCGTCCTGCTTTGCCGCTTGTTGTTTAATCAAGGGCTCGTCTAGTCACCTTCTGACTCATTTCCTGTCTACAATGAGTTACGTCGCTAAGGGTGAAAAAGAATACGACGCGACCGGCGCCCCAGTGCCCGGCGTCAAAATCCATAAAATCCGCATCACGCTCACGAGCAGCAACGTCAAGAACCTTGAGAAGTGTATGCCCCCGCGCCTCCCTTGTGACGGCTAGTTGACGCGACGCCCTAGTCTCGGCCGACCTCATCAACCGGGCCAAGGACAAGCAGCTCCGTGTCAAAGGGCCCGTGCGTCTCCCCACTAAGGTTCTCCGCATCACCACTCGCAAGACGGTGCGTCTCTGTTTCTGATCTGCCAGAGATTCATCTGACAGTTTCCATAGCCCTGTGGTGAGGGGTCGAAGACCTGGGACCGCTATGAGCTCAAAGTGCACAAGCGCCTCATCGACCTTCACTCGTCCAGTGAGATCGTCAAGCAGATCGTGAGCACTTGTTTGGCCCTTGTGACGATCCAATCTAACGTTCACCACAGACTAGCATCAGCTTGGAGCCTGGTGTCGAGGTAGAAGTCACTATCTCCGCCTAATTAGACCTTGCGTCCTGTGGTGTACTGTAAATATAGATTTACAGTTCCGGGTTACATCGCGCGATCTCTTGTGTTCCACGCAGCGAGCAGCTGAAAGGAGTCAAATCCAAGCAGACATTGCTGCCGCCCAAAAAAAATTGAATATTGTTCTAACCAGTCCCGCGCATTAAGCCTTCAACCATGACCATGCTCTCAGTGGTGTGACCCTGACAAAACGCGTCGATGCGCGGTCCTGGCTCTATATCCTCATTCCCTTCGCACCATTATCGCGGATTGCAGCGGAGTTTCTCATCTCGACGTTGAGTTCCACGAACGCATGGCAATGAGATTAAAAGGTAGATACAAGATGCAGGCCTTGACGCCGCAGTTCCTCGATTCTACCTACGAAATTTTGATCCAAAGCCAGATCTGTAGTAGACGAGTTTGATTGTTTGAGCTCCACTAGTGTCCAGCGAGCAACAGCAGGCGGCGCTGAACGTACCGCCAGCTCGGCGTCCGTCCACCACCTGGAGGCAATCATGCCTGCCAGAACATCCAGTGTAAACCCAACCCCAAATCCAGACATTCTGTCCATGATCAACTCGCGCAAGGAAGGCACCAGGTAGTCGGCGTCGTGTTTGTAGGAAAGAGCATGTAGTGAGGTGTCGTCGATGCAACTCGGACAATAGTCTAGCTTCAGCCGGGTGAGGGACGGTGCATGGCGCAGGGCCACGCGGAGGTCGTTCGGTGTGAGATCCGCCCAGCTGAGCTCGAGCTGGGTGATGTTTGGCGACCGCCGCTGGAAAGCCGTGAAGCGGGCTTCCACCCACGGCATCGCTTCGGGGTACGAGCCTGCTACACACAGATCATCCAAAGCAGGGGCATCGATGCTATCCAAGAACACGATTAAAGGGTTCTGAGAGGCGGTCGCCCCATAGGATCCGAATTTCAGCGTCAGAGCACGCAGATGGTTCAGTGCGAACATCTCCGTTCTGGGTGGGGGAGGCACGGACCACGCTGCGGCTTCAACTGACGCCGTTTCAAGACTCGGACACTGCGCGAGCATATGCAGAGAGATATGGGGCGAGTCTCTGCCCGTCAGGACGAGGTAAGTGAGTTGACTCCAGGGCATGGGAATCTCGCAATTCGCTGGCATTGTCAATTTCCGGAGGCGAGGGGCCCCAGTGCTGAAGGCCGATGTGATCGTAGGGTCGGGCTCGGCGGAAACGCCCAGGATTTTGATGATTTCCAGCTCTTCCAGGCTGGCCAAACTGCCCTCTGCGAGTCGCCTGATAAACGAGGGCGGTGCTGCCTGGGCGAATCGGAGCGCGCGCCATCGGGGAGCAATCGTCAGCAACTCGTCCGTTACACGCGGGCAGATTTTAGTACACATCCCCTGCCGCATACGTGTCATAGTGAGGGGAATGGCGAGCGGTGCCGAGCGCGCGAACCAGGTCCGCAAACCCTCCGTATAGGTGTCCACCAGTTTCCAGCTGCCGCGGTGATAATTGATGTCGAGGGGCCCAGCCCATAGTCCCGGGGTGCCGATTGCGACCTCTCTCCAATACGAGCAGATGTGCGAGATTCGAAAGGCGTCCTGGATGTGTAGGGACCGATCCGAACGACTGACGCGGATGGTACGCATGAAAATTTCCACCAGTAGCTCAAACGGGAGTGTGTCGATGGGCGCTATGAGGCCTTGAAGAGGGAGGACGGGTATACGCTCCTGGTCAGGCAATTCGGTGGATACTGATTCGACGGGGGTCATTTCGGGTTCCATAGAAGCAATGTTGAGCTTATTTAATGGTTCGGTGAACCCTGCCTTGGAGCGCCTGCGTATTATTCCACTTCTGCTCGAGGAACGCGGGTATCGTCGGTGAGTCCTGGGATACGACTCGAAGTGACGACGTGAGGTTGCTTTTCTGGCGATGTACCTGCGTTTTGCGGCAGTAGTTTTTGTCTAGGCTGCTAGCCACACGCGAAACGGGAAAGTTTTAAGGTTCGCAAGCGGGACGCAAGTGAGCAAAGTTGAGAGCAAGCGGTAGGGTATAAGTACACATTACACCTTACGGCAACAAATTTGTCATCCCTAATTCTTCCTAATTTGTTTCCCCACCTGCTGTACCACGCTCAAGCAGCACTTGGCTGCCCCCTGAGACCATGGACGATGCATTGCTACAGAACGAGCAACCCACAGCCCTCATCTCCCGTGCTACTTTCTTTGCCACCCTCCCCGCGGGGGCCGCACCTGTCCATCGGCTTCCACCCGAGATATTGACGCGAATATTTCCCCTGTGCACCTCGTACGACGATCCGGTCAGACACCCCTCTGTTTGGATGGACAGTAGCGCGGAAAGACAACTAGAACGACTGGCCCAGAAGCACCTGCTCGATTTGGCGGGTGTTTGTTCTCAGTGGCTCGCGTTGGTCATGGGCACACCGTCGTTGTGGAGGTCTGTAGAAGTTGATTGCAGTAGGTGGTCGTCGCGACACACGGATATCCTTGCCAAAGTGCTTCAGCGCTCCGGAGCAACACCACTCAGGGTCTTTGTTCGGCATGTCGAATACGCGCGTCACAGCAGGGCGTTGCACCTGCTGGTGGCGAATTCTGCCCGGTGGGAGGAAGCCAGTCTGGCGCTGAATGAGCTGGGCGTGGATATCGTATCCGCTGTTGCAGGGAATCTTCCACAGCTGAAGCTTCTGCGCATAACTTCACCGGGATTCGATGCTTTCGAAACGGCCCCGCTTCTCACAGAACTATGCGTGTGGACGGCGGATATCCCGGTAATTCAATGGAACCAGCTCAAAATTCTTGAACTTTTGGGCTTGCGGACGCTTTATGGAGCACTCGAAGTCTTCCCCCGTTGCTCAATGCTCATTGAGTTGATCATCGTCATCAGCAGCAATCGAACTTACACCCTACCTTCTGACGATGAAGTTCTGACCTGCGACACGGTGGAGACCTTCACACTTAGTGGTTGCACCGAAGACCCTAATGGCTACGCCGCGCGGCTTCTCGAGGGCCTGCTCTCGATTTTGACCTTGTCTTCGCTACAGACACTCTACCTCTTTCCTACGGTAGCTCCATGGCAACAGGAGGCTTTTCTCGGCTTTTCTCGACGATCGTTATTGAGCAACACGCTCAAGTTCCTCGAGATTCGCAGCATCAACATTGATGCAGTCGAACTCGTGGAAATTCTCGCTGAACTCCCCTCCCTGTGCAAACTACGGCTCAGTCGCGTCGCCGCATCCACTGATTGTGAGATGAACGATCATCTGCTACGTTCATTAACAAGGACGGCCGATTCCTTCATTGTCCCGTCCCTCATCGAAATCTCCCTGCACTCGCATGCGCCGTTCGCCGAGAAGGTTTTGGTCGATTTTGCTACCTCGCGCTGGGAGAACCCCCGCGCGCGAGGTGCCGTTCAACATATTTCTTTGGATCGCTGCCACAGTGCCGGACGTCGAGCCCGCGACGGTTGTAGACCTACAAGCCATGGCGACGACGCACAAGTGTATTTTCTCGTATCGAAAACTCCAGTGGGACTGAAGGTAGCCACATACACTACGGGAAAGAAGGTTTTGGTTAGCCCCATACTAGAAAGCATGTACATAGCTAGAAAATGAAGTGCGAGGCTCTGTGCGTTTTTTTCTAACATGACCATCTTCGTTTATCATCTCCAACGTGTGCACAACGTTTGTCACTCCACAAGGTGCGTCGATGTAGTACATGGTTGCGTAGTGTAGCGGTTATCACTCCAGATTCTGATGATTTAATTCGACACCCAGAATCTTCTGGCAACCCCGGTTCGATTCCGGGCGCGACCTTGTCAAACCAATCAAGGTTTTGCCTTTTGCCCCAGCACTACCGTACTGAGCCTACCCTGCAAATTTCTATGCATTCAGAAAGAAACGTACAATATGTAGTTACAGACTTTGTATATAGTCGATCGAATATACAAATAGTGGCGGTTGAAGAAAGACGCAGGAAGGTGTGAGGAGGATACAAATACGGAAGGAATGAGAACATAAGGTAAAGAAGCAAAGAGAAACAGCCTGCTTAGCTGTGATTTAGCCGAACAACACCACTTGCTGCGCTTGAATCAAATTCACTGTGAAGAAATGTGACTGAGAGAAGGGGTGGAGACCGAAAACGAGCACGCGCCCGGGAAAGCAAAGCTAGTAGCTGGCACGGGAACGGCCTCCGGGTAGAAACTCGAAGAAGAATAAGTTAGGAAGTGGAACAGGCGGCTGACAACGAGTAGAGGAAGATGATCAAGCTGTATTCATGCGGCTGATGGGATGAGCAGTAGTCGGGGGAAGAATGAAGAGGGGAGGGATGGCGCGGATAAGTAGACAGGGAGCATTGACCATTGACAGGGATGGATGGAGGCAGCATTGACGAAGGTGCGGAATGAGAACGCTCGAGGTATTATTTCCGAAGGGAAAAGGCCCATTTGTGCAGTGAGGTTACGCAGGCGGACACCAAAGCCCAGTGTTGGGAGAGTGGCCAAGGTGGCTGATGCTCAAGTTGCGGGGCTACACAGTACTTAGAAGCACGGAGAACTTGAATAGGCACGGAGAATAGGCATGTTGCGGCTGACGCCAGACTTGGGAGTGAGAGGAGAGATGCATTGATGGACTCATGGCTGTCTGGAAGAGAAAGGCGGCTTGGAGGGTGCACCTCAGCCGGAGTAAGTACGAGGAAGTGTCCGCCGGCCAACGAATGAGAGACGACGGCAAACGAGATTCAGACGGTGGCGAAAACTTGTTTGACCGAGGAGGCTGCATTTGTTCAACGTTCAACGTTCAACCCTCAACAAAGGAACGAGGAACCGCGCGCGGAAAGGGCTGCAGAAACCTGAGGCTTGCCGGAAAGAAGGAAGGGAGCGGCAACACAGCCACTCGCGATCCTCTTCCAATCCATCGTACTTACCGCAGCGGCGCTCGTGGACTCACGCGAGTACTCACGCCTTACCCAGCTTTCCTCCGCAAAAGCCTGACTGGAATGTCGGTGAAACTTCTGTGCAATAAGGTTCTGCCCGACTCCCGAAGCTGCCAAAGTCGCGCCTGATACGCCTGAAACCCCGCTCTCCCTGTCGGTCTCGTGCGCGGTACCGTCTGTCCATGAATTCTGTCGATAGACAACAGAGCTAACTTTCGATAGACAGGATGGTTACGAGCCTACGTGCGCGGTACTTTTGAGCTTGGACTAGCAAAGCTTACCCCTCTCCCCACGGTGTCCTCTCTCTATCCAACCGCGCAAAGCACCTAGCGCTCACAAGGCCCCACGCGCCCCTGGCTGCCCGTCTTGTGGCCTCCTCTCATTGTCAACGCCGCCCTCCACGTACTCTGCTCGTCCGCGACTGAACGTCAGGACATGCTTCGAGTCAAGCACAGCATGACCCTCCTCGCTGGCCTTCCTCATCTTTAGCTTCAGATTGGCCCCAATCTTCTGCTTGCTTCACGCCTTGTACTCACCTCACAAGACTTGTTTGCTTTTGCCCTCGAGGAATTCTACACATGAAAACCAAACAACCGAGCGCCGATGTCAGTGCCTAGTGAGCGTCCCACCTCCCGTCCGTGTCCACGGCTCCAATTTCCCTCGCAGACATGCTCCACGCACTTCGCTTGAGACGTCGGAGGACCCGATCGACCGATGCGGGATTCTAAAGCATCAGGGTGGCTCATCGGACTGGATAGCCATCTCACGCATGTACACGTCACATTACTGCTAGACACCACGGCGAATGTCCGTAAACCAAAGGCCCAATGGGGAAAATAGCTGCAGGACTAGCGATGTTGAAATATCCGCTGCATTTTTCGTTACGTTCATTTTGGCATCGATCCAAGACAATCCAAGACGCTCTTTTCAACGGCCACGTTTCGAATGTGGAATTTATGCGGCCGGTTGCCCGCAAGCGTGGAGAAGAGATGCCTGCTCATCAAGATCTAAATTGTCAGTATGCCCAATTATACGTACCCTCGCTTTCTTTTTTCCCTTGTAATTTGCCCATCGTATCTTGCAGACTTCACCATGCCCGATGACCTGATGCCCGACCTTGCAACGCCACGGTATACGTAAGAAACGATTGAACCTGGTCAATGAGGGGAGAAAAAATCCAGCATGAACGACAAGCGGGACCGTCAACCAAATATCCTTTGAAATGAACGAGATAGCGGCCTGTGTGCAAATGCCTGCGTGCAGATGCCTGCGTGCAAATGCCTGCGAACAGCCCGCCGTCCGTCGTAATAGGTAATTGCCCGATGTCTTTTAAGGTTGACATCCCGTACAGAGATCCGAAATGATTCGTTAATTGTTATTTAATGACCGTGGCTGCGCGCGCGCGTCTTCCTCACTCCCCACCTTTACACCCCATCTCACCCCTCCATTGCGAGTATGCTCCTCACCCCAGTGTCTGCTGATGGGCAGCTGCTTCCTGGGTTGCGAAAGTCTACCAACGAACTTGAACCTGAACAGCGAAGGTATGATACACTTTTTCCTTCTTCTTCTCGACTCGATATGAAATGGTTACTGAGCTCCCCTAGTGCCGACGACAGCATCAACACCGCTGTCAACACCGCTGCCCAAGAAAAAGTCAATGATCCCCAGGGCAGGTACGACAGCCTGTTTTACGTGCGTGGTTGGATCTGATTCAAAATCCCACAGTACCGAGAGCAGGTTGGCTGCTGATGCACATGGGCCCCGGTACGGATGCTGCTTCTCTGCTTTTCCTCCGCCTGAATCCAGTCCTTACGCGCATTTGAAAGCTCCGAACGATGGGCGAAGCTCAAGGCATCGCTGTTCATTATCGTCGGCACATTCCTTCTACAGGCCGCCGCTTGGACCCTGTTCGGAGTGATATGTTCAAGAGGACCAATCACGCTTTCATATATCCCCACACCGCTCGGGATGAAGGCATTCACATACCTCGGCAGCACGATAACCGGGGTACTCGCGTCACTTTCGTCCTTGTGAGTCCACCGTGTCGAGGACGCGGTCAGTAGCTTACGCGCTCCAAGCTTTTTTTCACGGGCCGTTCTACAACATATCAGCGTCCGAATGCATGACAAAGGCATGTCTTTGGCAGACTTTGTCTCGAGCGGCCAGATAGCATCGCGTTCGTTCGTTGGCGACCGTACTAATTTGAAATTGACCACCCTCTCGTTGATCGTGCTCCTCCTTACCTCTCAAGTGGCGCCAGGGTTTGTGATTAATCTCATCTGATCAGTTACTATCTGCTAACAGGTGTGCGTCCAGCTGGAATGGCCTAATGCTGCCTCAATTTTTTACAGGGTATACCAACAGCGTAACGGGCCGGGAGCTCGACCTCGGAAACCTCCTGCTGAGGAATCTCAGCGGCGATGCAATCGATTTTTGTGCTTTCAACACCTGTAAGCTATTTCCCGTTCGGAAGTTCGAAAAATCTACTGCTGACCAGTTCTTCAGCCGACCTCCCGACCCTCACCGTCGGCCAAACAGACAACGGGGTTGCGGCAATGAACCAAGCTCTGGGCGTCCCAGTGTCCTTGAACCTGATGAATTTCGCATTCAACACATCGACCGGTCAGTATGATGCATCGTCCTGGATTTAAATAAACACCGAATCAAGTACCACCAGGTGGCATTCTTCCCTTGGTCTTTGACAAATTCGATATCAGTCTCTGGTTCACGAATGCGACGACTACGACTACGCCGTGGACTATCCCGTGGACGCTCTCGCCCAACATCAGCCTTCACAACAGGATCTCTGCGACGACCAGTATGCATCAGCAGGGTAAGCACTGTGACCCGCCTCTCGCGAAATTCTAACGGCAAGAGCTAGGATTCAGTGTCGACCCGACTTGCACGTTCCAGGACCTCAAACCCGACACCACACCTTCCTTAGTTTTCGAAAACGTCACGCTCGACAGTGGGAATTCATCCAGCTTCCCTGTCACATCGCTCCGTATGAGCTCTAATTGCGCGGCGCCCAATGGTCCCACTCGTGAGAGGTTTCCTCGTTTCGTTCTCGCGTCCTGCAACACATTTCCTTTTTTTCTATCAGTCATCAATACCACAACGGTGGACATATCGAACGACCCTGGCTCCGGCTCTGTCTTGATGATTGCTTGCCGTGGCTCAGATAGTGAGAGCTATAGTACGTATCCTCCTCGGGACATCTCCTTGCTGGAAAATCTAAGATCGACATCATAGCACTCATCTTTTCTGGCTCGGGCCTGTACGATTTCATGAAAACCATGGTGTGTACCATACCGCTGTTCTTTCCGTAGTTCGATGGTTTGAATCGGGACCTAGGTGTGCACCCTTACCCCGAAGATACCCCAAGTTTTGGTGACGACCACATATGGCGACGGCGGAGGAACCGTTAGAACATATCCACTTGCTGGAGGGGTCGCTGCTCCCTGGGGACTTCCCGCAGTGTCCGCGGTTACGAGAATCTACAGGATGATGTACTTTGCGCAGGGCGTGCAAACCAACATCATGGGCAATCAGGTAAAGGAAATGGCTTCCGTTCATGCCTACAGTCCGCTCGACGCAACAGTATGTGGTCTCTCTCTCTCTATACACGGCACTAATGCTGACGACGGTCGAAAAGGCTGCGTACCTCCGCGGCGTCACGGAGTACAGTGGATCAGTAAACATTGTCCCTTTCATTCATGTTATGTTTATCGGGCTGAAATCCTATCCTAGGTCTTCCGCGCCTGTCTGTCCGCTAAGGGCGGGGGCATCTCAGCTGATGGCGTGCCCCAAAACATGACGATTTCCGTCCGCGCGCACCTTGAAACCCAGTACTTTGGCTGGATGCTGAACTGGTTCACGTCCT